CTGAAGCAGGCTGAGGCTGAGGCTGAGGCAGGCTGAGGCTGAGGCTGAGGCAGGCTGATGCTGAGGCAGGCTGAGGCTGAGGCTGAGGCTGTTGACGCGGACTGCCGTTGCCACTGCGACTGTCATCGCGAATGCGACTACGATTGCGAGAACAGCAGAATTCTACAACTGGATTCTCATCTGAATCTTAAGGGGAATGCTTCCAGATATGCTCCTACACATCGCTGTTAGGTTGCTTTGCCAGGATACTTATTACCTAACAGCGAAGACTGATAGGTTTCTAGTGGTGTCAAAAGAAAGCATCTGATGACTCAGAAGGGAGGTCTGGGCGGCATCCGGACAGCGAGGGCCGGGCTCAGGGCCGGGCTCGTTTTAAGCAAACAGTCACACACTTCGTGCTCTTCGACCTCCAGAACTCCATTCCCGGGCCACATTTTGAATGCCCGGAGCCAACTGTAGGCCACTTCGTGCTCTTCGACTTCCCAGAACTCCATTCCCGGGCCACATTTGGATGCCCGGAGCCAACTGTAGGCCACTTCGTGGTCTTCGAGTTCCCAGAACTCCATTCCCGGGCCACATTTTGGATGCCCGGAGCCAACTGTAGGCCACTTCGTGAATGCCCGGAGCCAACTGTAGGCCACTTCGTGCTCTTCGAGTTCCCAGAACTCCATTCCCGGGCCACAATTTGAATGCCCGTAGACAACTGTAGGCAACTTCGTGCTCTTCGTGATCCAGAATTACATCCTGGCCACTTTTTGAATGCTGAGAGCAGCGTGATGCTGAGGCTGAGGCAGGCTGAGGGCCGAGGCAGGCTGAGCTGACCGAGACTGAAGGCAACTGAGCTGAGGCTGAGGGCAGAGGCAGGCTGAGGCTGAGGCTGAGGCAGGCTTGAGGCAGAGACCTAGGCGGACTGGATGCTGAGGCTGATGTCAGGCTGAGCTGAGGCCAGGCTGAGGCCTGAGAGCCGAGGGCAGAAGGCAGGCTTGATGCTGAGGCTGAAGCCAGGGCTGAGGCTGAGGCTGAGGCGGGGCTGAGGCTGAGGCTGAGGCAGGCTGAGGCTGAGGCTGAGGCAGGCCTGAGGGCAGAGGGCGAGAGGCAGAGGCTGAGGCCGAGGCTGAAGGCACACTGAGGCTGAGGCTGAAGCAGACTGAGGCTGAGGCTGAGGCAGGCTGAGGCTGAGGCTGAGGCAGGCTTATGCTGAGGCAGGCTGAGGCTGAGGCTGAGGCTGATGCAGGCTGAGGCTGAGGCAGGCTGAGGCTGAGGCCAAGGCTGAAGGCAGACTGTGGCTGAGGCTGAAGCAGGCTGAGGCTGAGGCTGAGGCAGGCTGAGGCTGAGGCTGAGGCAGGCTGATGCTGAGGCAGGCTGGGGCTGAGGCTGAGGCTGATGCAGGCTGAGGCTGCGGCAGGCTGAGGCCGAGGCCGAGGCTGACGGCAGACTGAGTCTGAGGCTGAAGCAGGCTGAGGCTGAGGCTGAGGCAGGCTGAGGCTGAGGCCGAGGCTGAAGGCAGACTGAGGCTGAGGCTGAAGCAGGCTGAGGCTGAGGCTGAGGCAGGCTGAGGCTGAGGCTGAGGCAGGCTGATGCTGAGGCAGGCTGAGGCTGAGGCTGGGGCTGAGGCAGGCTGAGGCTAAGGCAGGCGGAGGCTGAGGCCGAGGCTGAAGGCAGACTGAGGCTGAGGCTGAAGCAGGCTGAGGCTGAGGCTGAGGCTGAGGCAGGCTGAGGCTGAGGCTGAGGCTGAGGCAGGCAGAGGCTGAGGCAGGCTGAGGCTGAGGCTGAGGCTGATGCAGGCTGAGGCTGAGGCAGGCTGAGGCCGAGACCGACGGCAGACTGAGGCTGAGGCTGAGGCTGAGGCTGAGGCTGAGGCAGGCTGAGGCCGAGGCTGAAGGCAGACTGAGGCTGAGGCTGAGGCAGGCTGAGGCTGAGGCTGAGGCAGGCTGATGCTGAGGCAGGCTGAGGCTGAGGCTGAGGCTGATGCAGGCTGAGGCTGAGGCAGGCTGAGGCTGAGGCCGAGGCTGAAGGCAGACTGAGGCTGAGGCTGAAGCAGGCTGAGGCTGAGGCTCAGGCAGGCTGAGGCTGAGGCAGGCTGAGGCTGAGGCTGAGGCAGGCTGAGGCTGAGGCTGTGACTGCGACTGCCGTTGCCACTGCGACTGTCATCGCGAATGCGACTACGACTGCGAGAACAGCAAAATTCTACAACTGGATTCACATCTGAATCTTAAGGGGAATGCTTCCAGATATGCTCCTGCACATCTCTGTTAGGTTGCTTTGCCGGGATAATTGACGGCTCGTGTCACAGGCATGTAGTGCGCGAGTTGTCTCGAACCGGCCGGGCAGCGACGATGGTGGGGAAGGATGGCGGGTTCCTAAGTGTCTTGAAAGGCCCCGGCTGGGCTCCTTGGCCTCAGACCCCCCGAGCTGCTGAATTTGCCGCGTTCGCTTTCTGTGGAGCATATGCGGATGCCCCATCAATTTGCTACAGCGATTGCCACAACGTCGTTGATCACGTCGCGCTCGGTCCAAACGACGCGCGGACTGGCAAGCGACAGAGCTCAAGTCTCGCTTTTCAAGGGAAGCACAATTTTGATAGGAACCTGGCTGCCCTCGTCATGGTGGCCGCCCACAGGGATTCTGAAGAAGATGGCATTGCTTCCAGCGGGCGCCTCAGGATAATTGGCAATCGGCATGCCGACCTGGCTGCCAAAGAAGGGGCTAGCGCGCGCCCCGCCCTCACTCCTGTTGAAGCTGACGAACTCGACCGGCGAATCAAGATTGCCCGTCGGGTTCTCATCGCTGGCTCGCAATTGCCACTTTGGCCGCGACTTCAATTTAAAGCCACCGCCTGGTCCGTTCCTGCCCCTGCCGCTCAGAACGTCTCCTTGGATGTTGGGCACTCGCGGGTGCAGGTTGGGTCCTTCTGGCAGTGTCGCGCGCGCCTCAAAGGCTCCCACGCGCGGCTCCCGCTTCCTGGGGACTGCCCTGGGCATTCCAGGTTGGACCAAGGCGCGCTGCTCAGGTTTGGACACAAGGTCGTGGCCTTCCCGTGTTCTGACCAGTTTTTCCTTTTTCGTTTGCTTGAGCTGCCAATCTCTACAGTCGTGGATCGCAGATTGTCAAGCTCGGGAACGTGCGTGGCCAGCCCACCACCACGTCAATGCGCAACTTGCGCAAGCTTGAAGGGCTTGCATCCTGAGAAGGTTCAAGTCACTGTTGACATTGACGAATGCATTACTGTGAGGAGCGCAGCTCCTCGGCTCCGTCATCACTGCGCGGCATTGGAGCTGCTGCCAAAAAATGTGGAGGAGGAGAAGTGGGAGAAGGAGGAGGAGAAGGAGATTGCGGAGATTCCGATGGTGCGCACCCAGGTGCGGTTCGTGCCGACTCATAAAAAGTTGAGCACTGGCTATGAAGCGCTGGCGGCAGGAGCGGCAAACGCAGGAGCGGCGACGGCTACATCCACGGCCAAGCCGTGGGTCGCCATTCATACGAAAAGGGAACGCCGATGCGCCCAGCACGGGCGCACACCCCCAGGTGCGAAACGTACCAACTCGTGGAAACATGTGCTCTGCCTATGGAGCGCAAGCAACAGGAGCGGCTAGCGCACCGGCGGCGACCGCTTCATCCACGGCCATGCCGTGGGTCGCCGCTCGGACACATGGAGTTAGGCCGTCGCGCCCAGCGCGGGCGCGGGTGAACAAGCCTCTGTCAATCTTGGCAAGGTTCTCCTTGCCCTTACGTGCAATGTCACTGCGCGGGGCGGCGAGTTGGCATGGGTCGTCGGTCGCCGTCGTGCCGCACTCCAGACAGAAACATAAGCAAAACTTCTGCATGAAGCGGAGCTTGTGGGTGTCATGCAGCGGGAGGCCGCAGACGATGCCCGCCCCCTGCGCTGGGGCGACCCGCTCGCTGGCTACAGGCAGCGGGGCGGCCGGCTGGCATGGAGCGGCGCTGGCTCGGCGCGCGGCTCGCTTGTCGGCGGTGAGCCCGCACGTCGAGCACCTGCACTTGCTCGCATAGAGCTCGAGGGCGTCGCTACTGGACTGGAGGGCACGCTGTAGCTGAGTGAGCCGCGGGCCTGTGGCCTGCGAGGGTCGCTCCGCGACCCAGGGGTCCACCGCCAGTGCGTCAGCAAGCGCGCGGCGCGCGCGGCGGCGGATCAGGGCGCGCCTGGCGTCGCGCAGGTCCGTCGGCGGGGCTGCGCCTAGGAGGGCTGCCTCCAAAGCGCACTGGGCGGCAACTCCAGCCTGGGCGTCAGCGCACGCATTGCCTAGCGCGCGGGCAAAACGGACAGGGTCGGCGGACGCGTTCCGGGCGTCCTCACTGCGAGAGGGCACCCAGACCACCGCGACAGAGCCAGGGCCGCGATTCCCAACAGCTTTGCCAATGCGCTGCCGTAGGTCTAAGTTAGCACCGCGAGGGCGCAGGCGGCGGCTCGACCTCCAACCGTCCAGGAGCGGCACGTTGTCGGTAACATAGCGGAGGTCGCCACAGGAATGCTCGAGCGCCAGCGCAAAGGCGAGGAGCTCGGCTCGCGGGGCGGTTTGACATGGGCCTTCGAGGCCCGACAGGACGCCACCCCAGGGGGCCCACGCCCCGAAGTGGCTCTTCATGGCGACCACGGCGGCCACTACCCTGCGGCGGCGGGGATCGGTACTGAACTGCCCCCCCGATCCGTCTCCATACAGGGCTAAGAGGCCGCCCGAGTCAACGCACCCCTCCCGGGCCCGCCCAACCCAGCTCCGCCCACCGCCCCCACCCAGATCAACGAAGACAGGGTGCGCATCCGCACGGGCGGCTAGGCCACGAAGCCAGCATGCTGGGGCAGCCTCTGCGCCAACGAGGGCAGAGGGGAGGAGCGCGTCAGATTTCTGGTAATCCTCGTGGTCGCGGTTGGAAGGGGCAGAGCCAGATCCTGTGCATCTGGGTCTCGGATGGCGCACCGCATCTCGGGCATGCCGCGTCTGCCTGGTAGCCCGCGTTGGTGGGCCTCTCCCTAGGCCGCTGCGCTACCGCGACCGCGCACAGGTTAAGGGTCCACTGTCGAACTGGCCCTTGCGCATGACCCTCTTCATCTCGCCGGTGACTGCGCATGCGTCGGCTCCGCCTCGCTGGAGGCCCTCGCCGTCGAAGTGCTTCGCAGCGTCGTTCCAATAGCCAGTCTCGGTGTTCTGGCAGAACTGCAGGGCCAGCTGCGAAGGGTCGATCTCTTCGCGGCGCTGCTCCCCGTCGCCACAGTCCTTGTGAGGTAGGAGCCACGTCTGCTCAGCCCGCTCACCTTCGCAAGGCTGGCGGGGCCACTCGCAGGGAGCCCAGCAATCCCACCCTGCGTCCACGAGGATGGCCTGGACGGCCGAGATGGGGCCGACCACCTTGCGCCAGCGCTTGTTGCCGTAGCCGATGGTCTTCGCGAAGATGAGCCGCCAGGCATGGGCGATGCGCTCGTGGTGTTTCGGGTTGGCGAACCAAAAGGAGAGCCACTCCAGGATGGTCTGTCTGCGGAGCTCGATACCAGGGCCGCGTCGCCGAATAGCACGGCGAGCGTGGAGGTGAAGCACCTGCCAGGGACCTTGCCCGCAATCGCCTGGGCGGCTTGGCGCCGCTGCTGGGTGGTGGCGCTCGGGGAGAGGCCGATGACCTGGTGGTCGTAGGCCCCCTGCGGTCTAAACCCCATAGTCCAGAGGCCCTTTGCGATCTTGGCGAGCGAGGCGCGCCTGCGGATCTCGGCGACGACGCGGCCCGTTGCCACCCTCCTGCGCGCCCCGACAGTGTCGACGCCTAAGTCGACGGAGGCGTGGGCGACCTTGATGGGGCATCCCTCGCGCATGAGGGCGACGTGGGCGTCGAGCGAGACCGCTGGGCTGGAGGCGAGACGGTGGTCTTCGGCGACGCCTTGAGCTCCGCCTCCGTCATGCCGTTGCAGAGGATCGCGCCAAAGGCGCCTTGGCGACCTGCTCGGGCTCCCCTTCGGTCCTGGCGACGGTGTCGTCGACGAAGGTCCAGAGTCCAGCGCGGGCGTTGTTCTGGCGGGCCCTCGCCAGGATGGGGCCGAGGTAGACCTTGGCTAGCTCCCCGCCGTGGGCGTTGCCTGCGACGATGGAGCGCTGCGGGTCGATGATGTCGCTGACCCAGCCGCGCATGCGCCGGCGCCTGGGCGCGAGGAAGAGCTGCACCTCCAAGGCCACCACGGCAGGAGGGAAGTTGACCTGGATGGCCGTGTCGAGCAGCTTCGCAAAGTTGACCTAATCGTAAAACTTCTCGAAGTCCATGAGGAGGGCGGCGTAGGAGAAGCCAAGGGCCGCCGCCGCCTCGTCGAGGAGGGCTCTCGTGAGGGCTGCGCGTAGAGCGCTGGAGCCCTTAATCGCCGCGCCCCAGAGCTCGCCGAGCTGACTGGACCACTGGTCGGCGATGGCAGCGCGGAGCTTGCTCCAAGTCTTGGCGACGGCGGGGGGCACGCCGAGGACGCGCCCCCCCCCCCCCCCGATGGCTCGGGGGCCCCAGCTCCCACGGCGGCGCAGAGCTGCTGCGGCCACGGCCCGCTGGACTCCACGAAGCTGTAGATCGCAGCGAACTTCTCGACGCCCTTGGGCGGTAGGCGCTGAATGTCCAGGGGCCCGGCGTCGTCGACCCCGCGCGCCTTCTTGGGTCGGCGACGCCAACCACGGCTTAGATGCGCCGCGGCTCAATGGCTGGGAGGGTACCCTCCCGAGCGACGCGCATGGCCTCGAAGTAGGCCTGGATGATCTGCTTCTCTTTGCAAGCGCTGGTGGTCCAGATCTGCCGCCAGACGTCCGCTGCCACGTTCGCCGACGGCGGCCCCGTCGAGCTTGGTCTCGACCTTCGGGGGGCTCGGGCCCACCACGACGCGGTGGAACTTGCCGGGGGGCTCCTCCCAGGCCCGCTCGGCCCAGTCGAGGAAGCGCTTGCGGGCTCGGCCCGCCGCCCTGGCCATCGCGCTGCTGGCCCAGCGCTCGGCAGCGGCGCAGATGCGGTGGAGGCCCCCCTCGTCGCAGAAGTCCAGCGAGACGACCTGCAGCTTCCACTCGTTCACGCCTACGGGGTCGACCTTGGAGCAGAAGTGGCCCTGGTGGACGTCGTCGCTGTCGAGCTGGTTGAGCTTCGCCTGGATGCTCTTCCCGAGCTGTCCTTTGGCGCGGGTGTCCTTGTCGTTGGTGGCGATGGCGGTGTAGCGGATGAGTAGCGTGCTGACGCGATACCACACCCCGCCTCGGGATCCTTGAAGCAAGTGCGCCCTGGCGTCGCCTTCATGAAATGGCGCGCGGTATGTAGCCCTGCGCCCTTCCCTGGTACCTGGCCCTCTCCTCGCTCGGAAGGGGACCTTGCGCGGCCCCAGGAAGGCGATCTCCATCGCGACGACCCAGCGCGCGTGGGCTACGTCGACCTGCGTCGCTGCGCGCGGCGCGCGCGCGTGGAAGATGCGGCCCCTGCCCTCCTCGGCGCCCGCGAGGTGGCCCTCGACCTCGGGGCGGGCGTCGACGATGCCGACGGCCTTGTCCCAGTCGGCGCTGGGGGCGATGAACGGCGCGTCGTCTCCGAGGGGGGGTCGCCGGTGACCTGGAGGGCGTCGAACCCCTCGCGCTGGTGCACGGGCAGCCTGCCCCTCCTGGTTCTCAACGTATCCGCGCGAGCCTTCAACCTTTTGCTAAGAGGGTCGGGGCCCTTGATAGCTTCGAAGCTGCACGGCTTGGCGGTCCCGATGGTGGCCCGGGCGCCGCAGCGGGTCTCCCACGGCGCGTCGAACACGGCCCGGGCGGCGATGCGGGCGGCGACGTGGGCAGCGACGTCGCCCCTGACGATCGCGCAGTCGTAGACAGAGCCCTCGCCCTTGTCGTACGTGGTCGCGCAGGAGGGGTCGGCGACGACGGTGCCATTCCAGCGGGTGAGCCACGGCTTGTCGGTCCACCAGGGCGGCTCGCAGTTCCAGTCGGCCAGGACGATCCAGGGGTCGGCGAGCATGTTCACGAACGTGGAGATCGACATGAGGATGTCCTTGCTGGCGCCCTTGTCACGGAGGCCAGGCCGAAGGTAGGCAGCGATCACCACGACGCTGCCGCTCTTGGCGTGCAAGATGGCAGGGGGGAATCCCACGAAGGGCTGGCGCTCGCGGGTCTTGAGGTACTGCTCCCTGTAGCCCTCGAAGGTAGTGGCCACCGCGTCATGCCTGGAGAGTATCCACTCGCCTCCGTGGGTGCCCTTGTCGGATTTATGCGTCGGTAGGTCTGGGGCACCAGCTGGCTTCCAGCCGTCCATGGCGAGCTTCCCGCGCAGCTCGCTGAGGCATTTGACATCCACATGCGTCTCTGCGAGCGCAATGACGCGGCACTGCCAGCCGACGGTGCAGCAGTAGTTCGCCGCCTGCGGGCCCAACTCCGTGATGTTGAGGATATGCGCCTTGTTGCTGGAGTCCTCTGCGCCGCCCCCGGCGACCGCCCCTGGCCTGGCGGGCCCCCCCGCATTGCAAGCCCGCAAGTGCGTCTGCGCCTGCGGCCTTGCCCCTGCCTGCGTCCGCCACGGTGGCCATCTGCCTGGCCTTGGCGACAGAGTCCGCGATGAGGGCAGCGGCAGCTTCTCGATCGGCGGCGGAGGGCTCCGCGACTGCGGGTTCGGCGGCTGCTTCTCCGGGTGGGCTGGACCCAGAGCTGGCGGCAGGTGCCCCTGTAGCAGCTTCGGCGGGAAGAGCGGCGGGGGCTGCGCCAGCGGCAGCGCCGGGCTGCTGCTGAGCAGCGCGCCGATTGCGCTTGGCGGGGTTATCGGGGAACTCCTAGGCCTTGCGGATGATGGCGTCGTCGTACTTCCCGAAGTCGTCCCATATCGAGGCGCTGATGCGGAAGAGCTCGGTGGCTGGCTGCAGTTCGCGAGGCGCTGCAGCTCCTACCAGTTACAGCGTTGTTCCTCCTGCGTTTGCTCGAACACGCGCTTGGCCTTGACCAGCTCGAGAGCAGCTTGCTCCTGGCGCTCCTTGGCGGTGTCGAGCCACCGCTGCGCCTCCTCGACGTCGCCCACGGTATGCTGGAACTTGCGCTCGCGGTCTGTGAGGACGGAGAGAGCCGATTGGAGCGCCTGCTCTGCGGTGCGCGCAGGTGGTGGCTGCTCAGGTTCTTGCAGTGCTTGCTTGAATTGGCAAACCAGCCCTTGATGCTTCTCGTCCTTTGCGAGGAGAGAGGTGAGGGCGTCGAGGATGCTGTCCTTCGATAGGGGGTTCGGGGGCCAGGTCCTTCTTTGCTGGCGGCGATCGGGTGCGCCATGGCTCGGCCGCCCACGCACCTACGGGCTACCTATGCTCCGCTGGCGACGGGGCGAAGGGCTTGCCACAGGAGAAGCACTCGCCTTTGCCCTTCCAAGTCCAACGGTATCGGCACTGCTTGCATATCGTGTATTCGAATGCGTACACAGCACGCTGACCTCGAGGCTGCGGAGACCGAGGGCCGAGCGGTTTGGGACCCATCTTTCTTCCAGACCGTCACCGTGGCACCAGGGAGGAAGACTGGGTGGCAGCTCGCCCGTGTGGGTAGCTGCAAATATGGAAGTGGGCTGCAGCTTGCCCCTGGTGGCAGCTACAAGCACGAAGAACACTGGGAACTGACGGAGCCTACCCCGCGGAGGCAGTTGTCGAAACACCATTTTGGCCTTGAGCCAAAATGGCTACGGAAAGGAGGAGGCGAAAGAACAGGAGGAGGAGAAGGAGGAGGAGGAAGAGAGGAGGAGCAACAGGAGGAGGGAGGCCACGAGGGCCGCAGAAGGCTCTCATGAGATCCGCTGCACCCTGCCGTGTGCCGCTGTGCGTGGCGTGCCATGCATGTGGGGCCCTCACTGGCATGTTCCCTTCGGCCCGTTGGCCCGTCCCGCTGGCGCCCTGCGGATTTCCACCCCGAGCCCCAAGATGTCGCCGAAGATAACGCACGATGGCCTCCAAGACAACTGCGATGGCCCCAGGCGCCCACCAAGACGGCCTAAGACTGCTCCAAAATTGTCTCAGAAGGCTCCTGGGACGCCCCGACAGCCAAGGGAATCTCCAATTTGCTCTGAGGAGGCACGAACACGAAGCATTGATTGTTTGATTGGATTGCTTTTCCCTCGTACCCGCCTTTTCGGCCTTCAGTGCGTCGAAGACGGCCCAAAGCCCAGGGGGCCCAAAGATCGCCACAAGACGGCCAAAAGAGGCTCCAAGATGGCCGCAGGAGCCCCAGGAGTTGGCCCCAAAAGAGCCCCGAGACCACCCGAAGGCAACCCCTTGCGTTGGGCCCCTGTGCTCCCCCAGTCCTCGCCCAGTCCTCCTCCTTTTCCTCCTCCTCCTCCTCCTCCTCCTCCTCCTCCTCCTCCTCCTCCTCCTCCTCCTCCTTTTCCTCCTCCTCCTCCTCCTCCTCGCTCTTCCTCCTCGTCCCCCTCCTCATCTTCCTCCTCCTTTTCTTCCTCCTCAACCTCCGCCTCCTCATCATCATCCTCCTCCTCCGATCGAGAGACGACCCCAAAATAGCCCCGAGATCACCCGAAGGCAACCCCTTGCGTCGGGCCCCTGTGCTCCCCCAGTCCTCCCCCAGTCATCCCCCAGTCCTCCTCCTCCTCCTTCCTCCTCCTCCTCCTCCTCCTCCTCTTCCTCCTCCTCTTCTTCTTATTCTTCGTAATATTATTACTATTATTATTATTATTATTATTATTATCATTATCATTATTATTATTATTATTAGTATGAGTATTATTGTTTTGAATATTATTATTATTAGTATTATTATTATTATTATTAGTATCATTATTCGTAGTAGTAGTAGTAGTAGTAGTAGTAGTAGTAGTAGTAGTAGTAGTAGTATTAGTAGTAGTATTAGTATTATTAATGCTTATTAGTATGATTAGCATTCGTATTAGTACAATTCTTAGTATTATTGTTATTACTCTCAGTCACCATATCATTATTATAATTATGTTTAGTATTATTATTTTCATACGTATTGTTGTGATGATAAGAAATAGTGCCATTCTTAATCGTATTACGAATAATAGTATTATGAGTATTATTATTGTTGTAATTGTTATTATCACTCTTACTACTATGGTTGTTATTATTGGTATGCTTGTTATGGTCAGTATTACTATTCTTAGTCGTAGTAATATTATTCCGATTCGTGTTACTATTCGGATTCGTCTCCCTATTGTTTTAGTATTATTCGTAGTTTTACCATTAGTGTTAGTAGTATTATTCGTATTATTCTTAGTGTTGATATTATATTATTATTCGTCTTCTTATCATTATGATTATTATTGTGATTATTAGTAATATTATTATTATGATTATTCCTCATCCTCCTCCTCCTCCTCCTCCTCCTCCTCCTCCTCCTCCTCCTCCTCCTCCTCCTCTTCGCCCCGACAAAACTTCGGTCGGGGATTTAGAAATTACCCAGCAGCCGAGCAATAGTTAGATCGATTACTCACCACAAGCGCCCTGCGTTTTCATAAGGACAGGGGGCGGCAATGACTCGCCGCCTGCGCTGCTTCACAGGATGTGTTGCGTCGGCATGTTCGCACGCACGCACGTGCATATGGGCACAGGCAGGAATGTGCGGATGCAAACATGTACAGATGCGTGCAAGTGGGCTTGCACACACGCATTTACGCGGGCATGCCCACACGCGTACGTTTACATGCACACACGCACACGCACATGTGATGCAGAAGTACTGGTGGTGAGAGGGGTCCAGGAGCTGGATGCAAATCATAGGGAGACAGCAAGCTATGTGTGCCTGGAATCGAGCCAAGGCTTAAACTGCTCTGAAAGTCGTGCTCTCGGCAACACAGCGAGGGTAGCTCCGCAGTCTGACCACGAAGGCTGGACCCACCCTGCGAGCAAAGATTGCCAACCTGCTGGTCACACTGCAACTTAGAGGTAACCATCACGAGTGCAGAATGGGAATGCCTAGCTTCCCGTCTACTCCAGATTTCGTAATAAAAGGGAGGGGGTCTGGACCCTCCAAGACAAGCCATTTCAGACCCCCCACCCGTGGGAGAACCCTCCAAAACATCGTCCCCAGACCCCCCAGGCCCTCCAAGATAGCCTGGAAGAGACCCCCCCCCGAAATGAGACCCCCTCCCTGTTATTACGAAATCTGGAGTAATGTCCCGAAGACAAAAACGTCTCAGCGTATCTTGAATCTTGAGACGGCGCGTGGTCATCATCACAGAAAGATGCCAATCGTGCGCCAAGCAGGACGGTTCAAAGACTACGGTGATGGCATCTCACCACACGGACCGAGTCGGAGATACCGCCGCGCAGGAGGCGATGGGGCAGGTGGAAATGGGAGAGGAAGGATGGGGCAGGAGGAGAGGGAGGGGAGGGGAGGAGGAAAGACAGGAGGGAGCAGGGAACAGGGGAGGCGGAGGCAAAGGCGGGGAAAGGGAAGGCGCTGAGGCGGAGGCGAAAGCGGAGGGACACGTGCTGAAGAAAGGCGGATGAAGCGCTGACGGCCAATTGGACCCAGGTGGCGAGATCTTGCCACTCTTGGCTTGCATACGCTGCCCTCCTCCCTCCTCGCCCCTCCCTCCGATCGCCGGACTCCTCCCTCCTCCCGCAATTTCGCTCCCCCCCCCCCCACTCCACTCCCTCTCCCCCGCCTCTCCCCCGCGAGCCAAAATACCTCCGATCGCGTGCAGCGACACACGAGCTGCCCTGGCTCCTGATCCGCCGTACTTTGGATGATTTTCCGACCTAAAATTGTGTCGGAAATCGACGCCAAAGGAGCCTCAAGGGCGGAAATCGACGCTCAAAGGGGCCTCAAAAGTAGGGCGGAAATTTCCGCCCTACTTTCGAAATCGCCCAAAGTAGGGCGGATCAGGAGTCAGGGTGGAGCGCCCTGAGCCCTCTGCCCTCGGCCAGGAGGGCCGCACACTCCCCGGGAGGCCCAGGCGCTGGATCTCCCCGGACTCCCCCACGGGCGCGCGCGGGCGCCGGCGGGGGCCGGCTCCCCTCTGGGCGTGGCGGGCCCCCCCCCCCGCGACTCTGCCGAGAGGCCAAGAAGGCCCGAGGGCCCTCGGAGCGCCCGAGGGCGAGGCTCTCGTCCCGAGCCGCTCCTTGACGCCCCCGAGGCCCGGCGAGGGCCCCCGGAGCGGCCGGCGACGGCCCAGAGCCGCCCGCCCGGCCGCTCCAGCGCTGGCTGGAGCGTCGGCTCTCTGGCAGGGCGACGTGCGTCGCTCCCCAGGCATGCGACGTCCTGGTTTTTGCAAGACGGCGCCCCCGGAAGTCCAGGCCCTTTCCCTACTACTACTACTACTACTACTACTACTACTACTACTACTACTACTACTACTACTACTACTACTACTACTACTACTACTACTACGACTACTACCACTACTACTACTTACAAAAACTACTCCTACTACTACTACTACTACTACTACTACTACTACTACTACTACCACCACTACCACTAATACTACTACTACTACTAA